TCTCTCTAGCTAATAGACCCCGTCGGCAGGCCGCGCGGGGCGCTGGGTGTGGCCGGCCATCTTTGGCTCCTGCCGTTGTCCTGGGATTGGCCTTCGCTGTCTTGTGATTTTTGTGCCGACCTATGCGCTTACTATGTGCTTACTATGTGAACCACGTACGCGAACTAGGGCTGGGGCGCTTAGATTTGTGTATACTCTTTTTCAAACTGTGAAGTGTGCCAGAACCGGTAGTCTCTTTACTACTTCATAGTAAAAATGTGAAGTCCCGCACGTGAACTATCAATAAAGTTAATCACTTATATTGGGATTCAACCGGATCGTGCTGTTAATTCCTCGGTGATCTAGAAGGGCAGAAATAATTGGAAGAACAATTCTACCAATAAGTAGAAGATTGGTATAATTTATTATAACCGGGCGAAGCGTGCATATTATTTTTTCTTTAGCACATTTTCACAACATACCCTGCTTAAAATTCCGAGTGAGTGAGTTAATAAATTTACAAAACTTATATTTCTTGTCTGCAATCTAAAACGCCATTGTTTGAATATCCGAGCGTCGTTGCATTGAGAACTTTAATTCTTTCTAACTATAATTACAGCACGTTGTATATTTTTATGTTGACAATTTGTAACTTAATACTGTTTATCAGCCATATGATACCGCAATTTCATGCAAAATACGATTAGGCAATGCATTCCCTGATTCCAAATATATAGTCAAAAATCGTAAATCACTTATATTATAGCTCGCACTTTGCCCTATAATTTTCATAAGTTACAATAGTGATATGTTTGTATACAGAATTATAATCTGTTGCATCTTCCTTTCTTTACACTTCGCGACTTGTGGGCACATTGGGCGAAGTTGAGGCACAAAGGCAAACACAAACATTTGTAATGAAATAAATTATTCTCTAAAAGGAAACAAAACCAAATAATTGTATATTTTGCACCTCATTGTCTGTTGCTCAAGCTAGAGCACGTGTCGATTTCTATGCCTGCATTCTGATACAAAAATATAAAAACCAATTTCGACAGCTCAAAACTCAAGCAACACCCTAAAAATCAACCCTAGAGATCGTCAACTACCTTTTTTTCTTAGGTGAGGGTAAAGGTATAGGTGGCCCGCTGATGAATGCTTGTTTTTTTGTAAATGGACGTCGTTGCTCTGTCTGCTTTCCGTAAAGCAATTCATTGTTTGACATTTTTGTCCTAATACCGGGAAACGGCGTGAATTTGGCGGGATAGACACATTTTTGGTCAAGTGAAATGAATGACGGAGCAATGGGAGATATACTGAGGGAGGCCTTCTTTGTTTTCCTACGACTCGAGTCCTTGGTAGCATTATTTTTGGTCGGATTTTGAAATGTATTAGATACAGTTGTACGCATATTCTCACTAGGATTATCAATATTCATGTCTACGTTCTCTGCCATAGTATCACGACTATCCCTGTCTCCTTCCTATGATGCACCTTTGAAGAGACCAACCAAATGTTTGGCAGGGTCGATTACATGCTCGTTTACATGTTTCGATGCGCTATCTGAGCATTTACCTACGAGATCACCAACGTTGCTTACGTGGCTTCGCTCGTGATGGGCCTCTTCTTCCTCTTCCTCGTGCAGCGGAAGTAGTTTGTCTCTCTTTTGGCGCTCTTTTTTCAAATGTTCTTTCCACTTGTTGCGTCGCGCACGAAATACAACAAAAATGTGGTTAATAGCAGGTGGGATAACACACAAATCTTTCGACTTGCTCGTATTTTAATGGGACGAGAACACAACAACAGCTTGTTGCTGCATTTTCCGCGTCCTGTTATATTCTTTCTCTAAATCAGACATGCCAACCAAGGAACTGGGTTGATTCACTGAGCGCTACAGTCCTTTCCAAAAGGATATCCCCCAGTTTGATGGACCTTGTTTGCCTTCCTTCTTGGGATGAATGGGAGAAAGAAGACCAAGACAGCCAACGTTCATTTGATTGACCTCATCATCTTCATCATCGCTCGATGCGTAACCATCTTTCGTTTTTATTTTGAACTTTATATCAAGCGATTGGTTCGCCAGTGGACGAATGTTGTACATGTATTTTTAACGGAGTTCAACGATTTTGGGTTATAGAAATGGCGCCATATTATAGACCATCTATAAAAAATGCAAAAAAGGAAGAAAATTGTTAGGCCTTTGCATTCAATTAATTATTGTATTAACTATATGGTATACATATCAGTTCTGATAGGCGAATGTATTGTACAATGAACATCAAAAACAGTACAGTTAGCAAAAATCAGTTAGCTAATTTAGCATCAAAAACAGCTCTTCAGATTTAAAGAATGTACGTCAACCAAGATGCAATGTGCGCTTTTGTTTATGGTTCACATCGTTACTATTTTTTGGTGTTGATAGAGACATTATAGATGTAGGACTAACTACACATTTCTTTTCATTCAAAATTTGAAGTAAATAAGAAGCAAATTGACTGTGTTTCTGCTCTACCATTCCAGCAAAGTCTTTTTGTCTTAACCACTCGTTGTAATAGTACATACATCCGTAAACGAATCTGGTGTAGTTGAACATCAAGTTTTGGCCTTCCACGCTTTGGCCAAGACGTCATTTAAATCAAAAGTTTTTAAAATTACTTAAAAACTCTAATTTACTGTTGTTATTATTGTTGGTCTATGTTGCATTATTGAACTAAAATACATGGAACGCTACCTGTAATACAACACCCCAATAATTTTTTGAAGTCGTGATTTTACCCCAGACACGCGTGTGTAGTCAATAAATTATTACTCCGCGAGAGAAGCTCGAAACACTACACACGCGTGTCTGGGGTAAAATTTCGCGTGTTTGATGTAAGATTTGGCTTTAATTATTTGCTTCAGGGAGCGTTCCATTTATCTTATTTCAATGTGTTGCATGGGGTGCAATAACAAAATCCGCCATTTTATCGAGCCACAAAATGGCCGTCACGCTGTGATTAACGCACAATGCATCTCGGTAGACACACATTCTTTAAGGATGACGACTTTAACATTGAAAATGCTACAAAATATCAACCATAAAGTATTATAAGCTGGTCTCTGTATTATTAGCCGTTTTCAATAGCACAAAAGGGAATGATTGTTTTTCTAACTATACTCGCCAATACTATATCAACGAAGAATTGGGTAGATTAAGTTATGAAATAATTATTACAATATTAATTCATTCGAATAAGAAAAGAATAAAATGACATAATAAAATAATTTCATCGTGGTGCATCTTTGCTTAAAAAGATTAAGGACGTCGTTTTCGAGGTCTATAAGCCGTGTTAGGAAGAAAGTTTCGACTGCAGCTGATTCCTTGCTACTAATTACAATGATACCAGAATTTTCAGAGTTGTTGGTTGGCACGAGTAACCTTTGTCAATTTGTTTTCAGTCCAAACCAGTAAATCAGGGGTCTTGCCGAACGAAAAAATGAAATGCATCCTCTAAAAGCCAAACTGAATTGATTTAAAATATAAAGCCAACGAAACAGCTTATTGTGCCATTACCAATCAAAAACTAAAGAGGTGAGTTGCTATCTGGACGGGCTGTTAGAAAAGTTACGGCACATATGTAGATCAGAAAAAACAGCTACAGCCGACTTTGGAACTGATTATCAGAACTACCCAGAAATAGTAATAGAGAAAGATACAGGTCTGACCACTCGTGAAAACGTAATGTGATTTGCATGATCCGAATAAAAGATGCATTATGATACGAAATGTGCATCGTGTAAATTTGAAATGAGAACTAAACATATCTGACGACATATTCACTCGAGCTAACTGACACCTTGTTTTTTTACTCAGCAAGAAAAAAGAAACGCCAGTTTGCTCTTCGCTGAAACATTCCGTCTTGGAATGCTATCAGGCAAACAAAAATAGGTCGTTAAAATGCTCTCAGCTCTTTCAAGATTACGTCAAATGTGTGGAAGAGGCGCGACAGGTATTTTGTCGTTTCTAACTGAGGCCGTGAACGAGCCACCAGTCAACCATTGGGGTGGACTGGAGAGTAGGGCTCCCTCCAATTGTATGAAAAGATTCTTTTATGAACAGTGGGAGTTATTAATAATTGACTTTTACTTTACTTTCACCACAAAAAACACCGGAAATAACATTGACGGACCCTACATTTTAAATTTCCTTCAAGAGCAAGGCTCCGTTGCACTTCCACAAAACTTTTAACATTCCCCCCTCCCCCACCAACAGATGATAGCAACAAGAAGCTGCCATCTGTTATTCAACATTATGGGATCGTATCGACTCAATAAGCATTACCAAGCCAAAATTTTTCGGTAGACTGCACACTTCTTCACGTTCTATGACAGTCAAAATTCAGTAACGTTGAATTGATTGCACTTCCAGTGATCTGTTTAAAAAACTGGTTCAAACAGTTTGAATTGAAATGTTTTTCTAACTTTTTCAGTCGAAGGCTAAGAGTTTCGTAGTAACAAAGATCACTATCTTTCTGTTGATATCTCTAGAGTTATCATGTAACATGGAATTGTGATCTAGATGGAGTGTATCTGTATGCTTTCTGTGAAAACCAAGAAAGTGAGTAGTTTCTATCAATAAAACGATTTAACGTTTCATTTATGATCGCTTTTCGAACGTTACCAGCAGATACCGTAAAATTTTCTGATCGCGTTCAGATGCCCACCAACTTTTACTCAGTTTGTGATGCATATTGTTGGGTTTTTTAATGAAAGTCTGGAATCATTTTCTTAAGAATTTTTTTAACAAAAGAATTATCGCCATGGTATTATCACTATAATGCTTCTATGGAAAGAGTTTTACAAATTTGACAATTCAAAACATGTTTTCGGTTTCGGTATTTACTGTTCAGGTATCATGCATTCACTTTCAAAAAATTCTGTCAGGCGCAAAAGAAAAGAATGTACGAATTAACGTTCTCATTATGCCCCTGACTTGTAGTATTATTGACGTACTTCATGTATGGCCAAAGTTTTTGAGCGAGATACTTTTGCTTGTATATTCACGTGTTATTTACCCTGTGCTGCTCTATGATTGGAGATCCGCTATTTTCGGTTGCCTTAAATAGCCAACAGGGCGCGAAAAGCGTTACCCTAAACTCATTCTATAAAACAAGATTTCCGATGGGTGGCTTACTAAACGAGATCAAAGAAATTTTTACTTTTAGGCATTACAAACTTATTTTTGAATCCATACAACTTTTGCGTATTTGCAAGAGAAACAATTAATGCCACGTCAAAAAATTAAACGATTTTCCGCCAAGGTTTACAATGATCTCAAAAACGTTTTGACGCCTCACAATTTTTGTTGTTCAGACCACGCATCTCAGAGATGGATTCTGGATGATTTCGTAGAAAAGGTACTCTGGTTTGACAATTCTGTTTTTTTACAAGTGAATTCGATGGTTCCCTTCATTTACGAGGAAATCAGACAGGCTAATAAGATAAACTGAACTAGTAAAATGGTGGAAAAAGGTTCATTTAATGTAAACGACGAGGTTTTGAAAATAGACATGTTTCGACACGTCATGATGCCATCTTTAGTATGAGTGAAGAATTACATAAATAATACAAAGTTTATATAAATGTAAAACGATACAGTAACATAAATATATAAATATGGATAACTTATAACAATAATAAGGAAATGAGATAAATAAATGGGGAGCGTGTTACAAACTAAATATTGTGTTGAGTCTAAAACCTTGAACATTGAGGTCAAGGGTTAGTTTTGTTAATGTGGAGTGCTTCTTTGATATTAAGGGTGAAAGAGGTGTCTGCAGTGTCGATGATATTGAAGCAGGAGGATGATATTTAAGAAAGTGCCATTTATGCACCAGAATCAGGGAACATTCCACAGCAAGCAAAAACTCTCATATCTACCGACACCTTCCTAAATCTCCTTCATAAAACCAACTTTTAACCGCTTGCTTCATAATTATCGACACCGCAGACACCTCATTCTCCCTTAAAATCAAAGAAGCACTCGACATTAACAAAACCATGACCTCAATGTTCAAATTTTTAGATTTAACACAATATTTAGTTTCTGACACGCTCCCCATTAATTCATCTCATTTCCTTATTGTTATAATTTATCCATATTTATGTCACTGTGTTATATTACTTTTATACAAACTCTGTATTATTTATGTAATTGTTCACTCACACTGAAGATGGCATCATGCGATGTCGAAACATGTCTGTTTTCAAAAAACTCGCCGTTTATACAATACAGTCAAACAGGATGTTGTGTTCCCCTGAACATTGTAACATACCGGTCAATTTAGCAATACTGATTGGCTGATTCCAAACGCAACTAGCTCTAGCGAATTCCACCTTTCTAGCGCTGAAGTAACTAAACATTCTCTTGTAGAAATAATGGAAAACAGGTTTCAGATAGTGTTACCGTAATTAAACGGACGCTATGCTTTTTTTTTTACCGAGAAACCGTTTGCATTGTTTCATGAATTTATATGTAAGATAAAAGAAGCGATTCTGTAAATTCAAAATTTACTGAATGCAAAAATAAGAGTTGCTTACAAAGACGTAAATCTTGTTTTGTTCATCGCTGTTCCTCCTAACGACAATCTGGTCATCTACGAGGCATTTCGAAATGCGTATGATTGTTGGGCGGAAGCATTCAAAAGAATCGAGCTCGAAGCTGCATTTTTTATAATTTTCGAGGCTGTTCCGTTTCATATTCCCAATTAGGAAGCAATGCTTTTAAATGTTTCGCCTTGCCCCGATAAATCAACAGCACGTTCTCGATTTGGTAAAAGAATTGTTTAATTTTTTTGTGTGAATTACATCATGAGAAGTATCAACAGTACAGCACGGGAAAAACTTCAAATTGCAATTGCGTTTGGAATAAGCCTTTGAATATTGCTAAATTGACAGGTATGTTGCAATGTTCAGTGAAACACAACATCCGGTTTGACTGTAAATGCACATTAGCGATGGTGCTTTTACGGAATTATGGTAAAAAAGTTTATGGATTATTACTTCATACCGGGAGGTCGTGATAATTACTATCAAATACCTAGGTGATAGCAATCTTCGACGGGGGTACATACTGTCTGTGAGTGGTCTTTAGTTTTAAGTATTCTTGCTAATGTTTGCAAGCAAAAGTAATCAGAATAGGCAAAGAAAAAGCTAAACTGAAACCACGACCGTACCTCTTTTGACTGAGTCTCCAAACTATCATTTTTCATCTCATTTTCATCAACAGCAACAGAAGTTTCTCGTTCATTCATTTCGTTCAACAGCTCCTTTTTTTGACGACTCAACACCAATTCTTTCTCGACATCACCCTTCTGCATGGTTATGCTTTCCAAATCTTTTTTCAAGACACAAATCCGATTATTCAGCTCATCAACTTCAATTTTATGTTCGCTATTCATGCTTTCGACAACATCTTCATTTTTCGAACGCAACTCCTCCCTTACGCAAACTAATTCGTTTTGTACACGAAGCAACTCTATCTGAAGCTCATCCTTTTCCGCCACGAGTGTATCTTTCTTGTCCTTCGCATCAGACTCACCGGCACTGCCAATTTCCGTCTTCAATTTTGATTCCAAATCAACTATACGTGACTCTTTTACCTTCAAATCGTCGTTCAAACTTTCCATCACCGACTCTATTTGCGTGATTCGTTCATTCAACTCCACATTTTCATTTATAATATCCTCGTGCTTTTGGGTCTTCTCCGCGACACAGTCTTTAAGTTCGCAAATTTGTGACGTGTTTTCTTCGATCAATTTGTTCAGACGCATTCTTTCTCTCTCGTTACTCTCGCCTTCCTCCTGTTTGTCTTGTAATTTCAACATAAGAGCGTTCACTTCATCTTGCTGAACACAACTCAATTCTTTTTCTTTCTCGTTCACTGCTTCGCGAATGAATTCGATCTGATTGTCAAACTCTTCTTTCAACCGTTGTTCGCTGAGTGCATGTTTTTTGATCAACTCCTTTTTTGATTCCACCAACGTTTCTAAATCCACGGTCTGTTTTACAATTAAAGATGATTTCTCGTCTATGAGCGCATCCTTTTCTTTCAAATTTAACAGAAACGTCTCCTTCTCGTCTGAATAACTATCTGCAGTTTTTAAATTTTCTTCTAATCTTTGAAGTGCTTTGGTCTTCTCTTCTAAAGTTAGTTGCGCATCTTGTAAAGTTTTTTTTGTTTCCTTCAGCACTGCTGTGGTCTGCTCATAGTTTATAGTAGCTTTAAGTAAATCTTCCTTAAGTCTTACCTCACTAGATATACTAGATATAAGATATTCGATGTCGGATTGCTTTTGAATAAGCTCCGTGGTCATTTCAGATAAATCGCTGCTTAAATTTTCCTTTTCTTTCAATTTCTTCCCGCATTCTGCTTCAAGTTTAAGCGCACGAGCTTCGCTGTCTTTCAACATGCACTCACTCGACGCTAACGTTTCCTTCTACAGACTCATCTCCGATTTACGCGTTTGAATTTCGATTAAAAGTTTTTTATTTTCAATTATCATATTTTCCTTTTCCGAAATAACAGCTGCAAGACTGTCTTTTAAGACTTCAATTTCTTCGCCCATTTTTCTTTCAGTTACTTCACAGCGAATGTCCTTTTTCTTCAGCAAATCTTCCACGTCATTTTTACCAACATCTTTATCCAAACTACCAATTTCCTTTATTTCCAACTGGTTTTGATGGGGGAGAGAGGAAATGAAAGCAAAAGGCTAAGACTATTTCATGTCAAAAACATTGTGGTTTTCGTACAAAATTGCTTGAAGGCTTCTGCATATATCATTGTATGATACAAAAATTCTTGAATTCTGCTTTTGCTTGATATCAAGAGCTTTGCTTCAACAGATAACATTGACCTCGGGTCTGAGAAATTCTTCATATCATGCATAACTTCGTCCAATAATTATCAATAAACATACCAATTTACTCTTTTCATCATGTTGTTCGAGTTTATTTTGCAGTTTCCTTTTCTCCTCTTTGCATTTTTTCACCTCATCTTGTAAACTTGAGATTTCTTTTTCATCATTCTATAACGCAAATAAAAAAAATACGGTTTTGAAACTTCACAAGAGTTTGAACATTCCGCGAATGTCAGTAACGGGGGAAAAAAGAGTCAAAATTATTTCGGGTCATCTGAAATTAATGTAGGAAAAGCCGCCTTAGCATTGTTTCGGTAGCTTTTTCTAAAACTCTCGCAAAAAGAAATTAAAGCTGGCTTAGCACGAATATCGTCAAATAATTCAACAACAACAAAATATTTGTACCTTTTACACTTCAGGCAAAAAAAAGTTTATTTCGATCCAGCACTTTGAGAAGCAAGAAGCACACACGGAAATAAAGTAATCCATACCTCGGCAAATCATCGTTTCGTTTCAATTACAGAGCAAGAAATGGCGCTATAAAAACAAAGTGTACGTCAAAAGCATTCACGGACCTGCATGCCATTTACCTAGTCGTAAGCTATATTAAAAAATATCTCACCTAAAACTTGCCGTATTTTGTAAAACGACATTAACTAAATTTCCATAAGACTATACGCGCTACAAAATGTGGTAAACTGAGTGAGATGATATGTCCAGGTATTTACAGGTCAGTGATGTTAATAAACCTCGTTGCATGTTGCAAGCATTGAGTTCTATAATAACTGGAGCGGCTAACTTTACTGGGGAGAGGTCGCCAAAAAAATGGCGGCCAACGGACGTATTTCCGCTGAAATGATCGCTTTGCAGAAAAATAATATTCTCGACCTCCCCCTGGTGTCTATAGTAAATTATAAAAAATTTTTCAAAAACAAACACGATATCACAGAATATGGATATCGTTAGTTCCATATTCTGTGACGATATTTTTTTTGGCATTTCTTTTATAATGCCAACACTTCAATCGTTCAATTGTTGGATGTCGTAGTTTCCACAAAAAGGAACATATCGCTTCTCACGGGTGAGATAGTTGCTTGTTTTGTTAGTCCGTCAACGATTGAAAAGCAATTATACATGCACTTGAAAAGCCATAAAAATACATATTAAAGATCGTATTTTTTAAGACTGACTTGAACGCCAAATATACTGATGTTTTCCTGTTTTTGTTTATAAAATTCTGCATACTTTTCTGTCATTTGTTTATGCATGAAGTCGTAAATTTACCCATCTATTTGCAAAATAGTTACCCTAAAGCAAAAAAAACCCTGCACACATTTTGCTCTGTGAGTAAGTATCAAAACGAAATGATCAGCCCCAAGAGTACCCATGATTTGGAGCAGAGCTTGTTATGTTCTATTTGCTGACAACATGCAGGGAAGACCAAGGAGTAAAGATGACTGGAAGATGTTATTGACCATGCAGAGTGTTAAAAAAAATAATAATGCTGTAAAGATAATTGATTTATTGTCTGCCCTATCCAGAGTTATTTAATTTGATCATGGTCAAATTCTATGGATGGAGACAATGGATTCGCTAAGGATGCCTTGAATGCTTTGAAGTTAAAGTTCATGAGCCAAAGAAAGATGGCAAGGTTGTGTGTGTTTTGATGCTTAATGAATTGTCAATTCATAAACATATAAAATGGGAAAGCCATAAAGTTTGTGTCTATGTAAACATTTGTACTGAGATTGATGATGACTTGATGCAGATGTGAAGGTTCAAACTGTATAAGCCATTGGGTTTTATGTAACTTAATGTTTAAATCATGTCATATCTTTATCAAAATATTTTAGTTGAGTGTTGTATAAATGTTACTAATATCTAATGCACTACACTGCAGCATTAAAGATTTAGTGATGAAACCTTTAAAGTTACTGTACTGTATATTTCTTCATTATAACAGTTTTTGCTTTAAGAAACAGTTTGAGCTTATGTACCTAGTAAAGTACAGAATGGAGATTTATCATATGCATTATTGCTACTTTTTAAAGAAACGTTTTCACTTTTCAAAGCTTTCCTACAAATTTTTGCTTCTTATTTCTTTTCATGAGATTGATGATATATGGTTAATATAATCCAATAACTTTATAATTTCTAAAAAGCTTTTAAGCTTCTAGCATAAAAGTACACTATAGGTATTTGATTCATTTGGTTATATTGCCTTGCTATGACATATCAACTTGCACTTCATCATTCTTGTATGAACAAAACACCAGATGTGGTTACTCAGAGAACAAAATGCACTACCAACTGCTTATGAAATTTATTATTGAGGTGAAAACTGTGTTAATCATTCAAATTGTGTACTTATATTGCAAATATAGGAAAAACAAAACAAAGTGAAAAAGAAGGGTAGGAGTATTAAAACTACAAATGAATTATAAACACCATTGGAAGCATAAGTGTTTTGATGATTATTTGCATTTTGCCCAATTCATATATCAATACAACAAAATCATAATGTGCTACAACTTTACAAGTATTTGATGCAGTTGCACTTCAGAACATCACAAAAAGGTTACTTAAAGTAATTTCTATACAATATTGTTTGTTTTCATTTACCAAAGCTATGCAGACTTGAGTCTTTTTGAAATTTAATATGAAACTCAATTACAGAAAATCCGTAAATATCCAGAGATTTAATATTTACTTTTTTTAAGAAACAAGTAAAAATCCGACAATTGTGGCGAAAAAAGCCATTGCCCATTGCATGAAAAGAAGCAAAACAGCAATGATAACAAATAAGCTAACTTCTCTCTCGTGAACCGTGGAGATGAACTGTGATATACTTTTTTGTATAGACTAAAGAGTTTATAATCGATCAAACAAGTTTGACGCTGGTAAGAAAACGACGGACATCTGCATTCATACATGTGTACCCGACATATAGCTCTTTCGTCGATAGTTATAAACGCATCCTCGTAGGAGCACATAACTGACAACCACAGTTGACTCGCTGTTATGAATTTAAGGTTTTTACCTTGATTTTCATCAAAAAATTGCTTGCCGAATCCCAAATACACACATACATTTTCCTCACTCTTTTCTCAGGAGGGAGTGGGAAATTGTGAAATTTTCGGAAAAGCGATCAATTTCGGTAAATCTCAGCGGCAGCGGACGAAATCCGCCATTTTTTTGGCGTCATCAGATATCTAAGGCCGCGCTTGAGATAGCCGCTCCAGTTATTATAGAACTCAATGGTTGCAAGCACACCGGTTTCCAACGGCAACAAAGCTGTCATATTTCTATCGAAGTGTCCCCATTCCTTTTCGTCCTAACGAGTTGAATTTAATCTTCGGAAGAAATGAATTACCGATAATGAGACAGAGCAAAGGTTAGGTTGGTTGGTAAACGATGGCATTAGCGAGCTATGACAACAAACTACGACTCCTTGTCGTAGTCGTACTCTTGCAAAAGCTCTCCATTTTCTCCCTCACGGAGAGTGGAGTCTGAACAAATTTTTTATCGCCGAGGATTTCAAATTAAACATGGCAATGCCAGAAGCGTAATGGATCTATTTATCTATATAGGAGATTGGGATGCATCTATGATGGCAATTGGTTTAAAAGATCCACTTACGACACAGCCCTCTTACCAAAATTCTGACTGGTTAGAGCTAAAAGCCTACCAAAAACATGTCAATGCGTTGAATGGGCACAACTTTTACTGGAATCACTAGTGCAAGATGAACCATAAAACTTAAGATACTTTTCAGTAAAAAACCCAACTTCCTTGTTTCAAGACTGAAGCTAATATCATGACGATTGGCATTCTAATGAATCCCGATGAAGCGCGTTTTAACTTAAAGGACAATGGCAATAAATATTTTTTTCATACGTTTATCATAGATAGCTATGGAATACTTAATTTCATGTTTTCGTGTCTCTTTTGAATTTTGCTGTTAAGAAAATTTGACATAAATTGAATCCTTATCCGCCATTTTGGAAAAAAAGTTTTATGCTAAATTATGCCGGAATAAATTACTGACGTCATTGGCTAGTATCAACTGAATGACAAAATAATAGTATTATAATAATATATAGCACATTTGTTCCCTGGAATTTTAAAACAAAAACAACAGTCGGCGGTTGTTAAGATTAACAAAAATTGTGTAGTATATCACGCTGATATACTTTTCCAATATTTAGTCGTTATAAGACGTAGAAACGTTTGTTTTAGTAGATCTTACAACTAGGCTTTCGCGACATACCAAGTGTAAGCCCAGACAACAATAAGTGTGTTTTGTACACTGAACATTTCGTGCAATAGAAATATTTCATTTTCCCATATTACAAACCTGTGACCAACAAAAGAGTTATACGTTTAATTTATTATTTATATACATAAGAGTCTTTGCGAGATTATGTAGTTTTATATAGGTGATAAGCTATAAGCCGCTATGTTTTGTTCATGACTGTAGAATTGCGTTTATCCGTAATGTTTTACGTGCGTGTTTGCGTGCACAATGTACGCGTACACTTTTCAATTAACTTTATAACTTATGAATGAATACAAGTTTTGGGTGGATCACTCATGCATTTTGCTTTTGCGCAGTTCGTGACAATCCTTCGACAATGATATGGCATCGCAATTGCAGATCATAACAAAGAACATTTAAGAGCGTCTGTCTAAGACTTTAAATTTACGGTCTTTCGTGATAACATGTGTATTTAAAATGTGTATAAAGTCCGTCTGGTGACGCGAAGCGTTTTCGTATGCTAGCATAAACACAAGCAGGAAATGGTCTTCGATGTTTATTCCCTACAATTTGAAAAATCCACCTAGAACATCTTTGATAGGCGACTAATCGATACAGCTTGTGTATTTTCTCCAGCTCCTCATCAGACAGTGGCCAGTTTTCTTCAAGATATTGACACACGTCTATCTTTAACACACTTTCTGACAGCATATTGTCCCTAAATTCTTGGTGTGTTGTCAAGCAATTAGCAATACTCTCTTCGAGTTTCTGTTTGGCCTCGCACAGCCTCATACTCATCGTATTCAAGAGCTTTTTCGAGGCAACAAAAACACTCGATTGCCTTTTTCAACAAAGTACTATGTCCACACTTAGAGTTTGAAGGCGCCAAGCATTTGCTCTCTCAACTTCAGCATCTATTTCATCCTCCGACGAGGACAAGTCGCCCTGCTCACTCTCCTGTTCGGAACCGCTTTTTTCACTTGTTTCGGCCTTCATTTCAGGTTCATATTGATAGGGCAGAACCTAACCCGGTTGATTTTCGTGTATGTCATCCATTACAGCAAAAAAACCCGTAAAATATGCTTTAAATGTGTTGTAACGCCGTCAATCACAAAGTATATTGTATTGTTGCTTTGACTGCTTACCAGCCAATGACGTCACTTCTGCTCGAGAGAATTTTATCAAAATTTTATCCAAGATGGCGAAATTTATAAAACTTTTGCTGCAAATATCTCAGCAACAAAGTATTTTTGAAAAAAAATTTTGCTATTTTAGTTGTTAGACATCACAAAGGTTCAAAAACATGCCATAAAAATTTTCGTTGCCAATGTCCTTTAAGCCCACGTTAACTATGAAGTCGCTATTACACAAGTTCACTCCATTTGGAGCAAACAAAAGCACTGCTAAAAAGGCAAACAAACCAAACGAAAAACCTTTTTTTGTCGTGTTGTATAGCCATGAGCTGTCATTTAAGAGAAAAGGCCCTAGCATGAGAAGTAATTGAGCCGTAGTTTTACATCCTTGTTTTTTTTGCACGCCACGTACTTTATAACGAGGAAAGAGTGATTTTTGAGTCAATTCAAAAAGTTATAGCACATGCATCAATTGATATGACTTTGCGAAGTAGAAGAGATAAGACATTTATCACCTTTCTATTAGGTATTGTTATGTGTAAACAAGATTCATAGATAACTCCGAATGACCCATACAATACAAAGAACACAATATATTAATAGCTAAAACTTGATAAACATACTGTATATTTTGCGTTATGTACATGCGTCATAAATTAGTCGGTTGGTTGCTCAAATGGGATAATACGGTATACCGAATGCTCTTTGCACTTTCCATAAACGCAGCAAAATACTCAAATCTCAAATGAAATTAGCATCGGAGATATTTATACGGTCGAGGGCCATGTGAGCAATTCAAGGCGCTGTTGTCAAGCTGCACATTCTTGTTGACAAAAGAAGCAAAAAATGAATGAATCTACAATCTTCTTCGTGGGAACGAGAATCGTAAAGCTTACTGCAAACGAGATAAAACTGAAAAACTTGATGCAAAACGCATAACCTTCCTCCTAATTCCAATTCCCAACGATTTCATTATCTTTGTTCCTTCACGACGCAAATTTGAATTCATCCAAAAGAGCACAATGCAACTGAACGTTGAGCCAAAGCACACAAAACTCATAGACCAAAGGCCTAAATTGATCGACAACGTATCCTTAAACAAAGGCGTATTCGACAGGGTTCGGTAAGCAACCAAAGCAATTTTCGGAGCGGAAGAAACAAAAAAGAGTAGAACTGTCCAGAAACACGTGGAAAAAGCCTTGGTGGATGAAATCCTTTTAGATTTCGCAATTTTCAACATTTCATTGTTCAAATAGCACAGAAGAAGTAACGTTAAAAGAACAAATAAGCAGAAAACACCCCTCACTGTTTTGTTGAAACGACTAACTGTACAAAAAAAAACAAAAGCAAGTACATCGTGCCCGAGTACGAAATATATAATTCTTCTTTTAGTCACCATTCTATGATGAAAAAATGGATACTTCAATGCTAAGAACCTTTCAACATTAAGAGCGACAAGTATGCACATTGCTCCGATATATATAAAGAAAATAAAACCCCACCATAGATCTTTCTGTATTTCGGACAGCGTATCCTTGCTAAGTACGGTATAAGTAAACCACATGAGCAACGGATGAATAAAAACAACAACGGTCAAGTTCGAACAGGACAAAAGAAATATCATAAAATAACCAAGTCTGCTTCGTAGCGACGACGATTTCAGTAAACTAACCACGGCAAGAGAATTAAGAATCAAGCCGGCAACCATGAATAAAAAGTTGGAAACCCACAAAACAGAAGCGTTCGCCCAAACCAACGTGAACATTTTTCGAACGCTCAAAGTCGCTGGCGAAGTGTCGTGAAACTAGTTCATGTCAAATGATGTAGATGAATAGATGCTGTCAGAAGCGTTTTCGTTTCCGAAAGCTATTGTTGATTCTATATATAAATACAGCTGCATGCACGCATTCTATAACCCGTTTGCGGTTCATGTTTTTTTAAAGGGCGAAACGAGATATGGAAGCCTTCAACAGATGGCCACACTCAGAAATCATCTATTTCCCCCCCGATGTCTCGTAATCCAGAAATATTATAGTGTTTATCATACCAAATTTTACAATGTGTTCTCATTTTACAGTGTTTTCTGTTTAGAATAACTCAATAACATCTTCAGTACAATTATATTAATGGAGATAATACTTTTTTGAGATATGTAACTTTCCTTCATTATGAATATGAGATCGTTATCACAACCCGCTGCATAATTAGTATTGGTAAATAGTAATTTTTTCCACCGTCAGCATTAAAATATCAATATCTCTTTGGCAACATTACAAAAATATTCATCAACACGTTACTCAGCAAGCTGTTATATTTGTGCATAAAATTTCTAACAATGTGGAAAATAGATGATCTTTCAAAAATTGTTACTGAGATTCTGATTTCGTGACGATGTCATTTACGTAATGAATAAAGTTTAATATCTCGAGAAAAAGTACAAGTCAATTCTACTAAAGAGGTTACCAATGTCATTCTATATATTCTTAGCATTACAATCAAGCAAGTTTGTTTCGAAATTTAGTGTCATAAACACTTTAATGAGCAACTCAAACTTAGCAAACGTTACACAGCTGTTTAAACAACGAGCATTAGCATCAAGTTGGGTAAACGACTTTCAAACATGTCTGCAGTGCTACCCATTCGCAATTCACCTTCTCAAATTTTATTTTGCCACATTGCTGGTGTGCAATAACATTGACTTTGTAAACTTGTCTCGATTTTCTGCCTACGAATTTTAATCAATCAAGCGTTGAGTAACTTAGCGTTGTCGTAACACAGCAATGAAGAGAATATGCAAAGTGTTCTTACAAAACGTCTGGATAAAAATAGCCGTTTCGCATTTTCATTTATTTTCCAGACAGACTATTTACTCCTAACATGCAATATTTATGCTTTAATTCACTTAAAGTAGAATGATGGGACTAATTACCCTGCTACCAAAGGTAAGCCCGAGTTTAAAATTAAAATTTTTTTGGAATGTTCATGAAGATTGAACGTAAAGGTTTTGACCTACACATTCCTTAAGGTTTTGACCTATGTATTCTACAAATACATTGTGAAACTTTACGATCCACCTTTGCAAAGGAACTAAATCGATAAAAGACAAACATATCCTGCAAAACCAAGAATTCCAGAACAACAACACACTAAAGCAAACAAACCGATCGCAAGCTTGTTGATAGTTGATTTTTTATTTATGGCACCGGTCAAAATTCGCTTGCTCCGAGTTTGAGAATTGAACATTATGACATTACTATTTGATCATGCCGCACAGGGAAATATGTCGCTTAGCCTGAATACATTTTCCCATACAGGCTTAAATGCCCGTATATAACATAGCTAAGTATATTTTGCAAATGTTCCCCAACTGTCTTACAACAGGTGAGCTAAGCAAGCAGGAAAAACGCCAATGAACTAACCTCATTGCTACAGGGACAGCATTTACTTCAAACGGTCCAGCGACGTTGCTTACGCTGAGAAAATTATCAAAGTGAAAAACTATATGAGTATATTTTCCCTGAAATGGTGCGCGTTTTGTGCTGTTATCGGGAAAATTTTAAAAAGCAAATTTCTGAATTTTATAGACATGCTCGTGCGCAGATATGCACGAGAGTGAATTCCGTTCAGAAATGTCGCAAAATTCTGTTATTTTAGTGACCGATGTTAGTATATCTTGATCATGATAAAAAGTTTATTTCAAAGCCATTGGTATTTCGTGTGCGACTTTATATTCTACCATACGCAATTGATGCTGCCATGTAATTGCCTCGTGTTGTTGGTATTCAAAGTACTGCAACTTAAGTAAAATGGAGCCAGAGACTTGGCAGTACTTTGAGTTTTTTTGTTTGCAGCAACTGGGGCGTCTTTAACACAGAATCTTCAAACAGTTTTTCGTTGCGAACTCATAAATAAACGCCACATGCATGTGGTGTTAATTTAAAGAAAATTTTTTGATGAATCATCGAGTATCTGACTGAATTTCCTATTGGTCGCATTAAAATTTGGCTTTTGTTGTAATTCCAGGACACAACCCCCCACCATTGATTCACCAATCATAGCTTGATACTGTTAGGTTTTGTGATGTAGCCATCTACCTTCTTTAGTATATATTGACTTAAACCAACAAATAGAGATATTACAGATAACTGTTATGATCACATTTAATGTTCAACGTCAATGTCTGTTGTCTACGATCTATCGCACAATGGTTAAACTACTTCTATTTATACAAGATATTATGTATGGATATATTTGTTTCTTTACTAAATATGGTTAATTTACAATCAACGGAAAGCTATTAGGAACTATAAAAAATATTGTCATTATTGCACATAAGTATCTCTTAAAGTAATCATTTAGTTAGTTACACTTGACTTAATTATTTACTAATGACAGGAAGAATATGAGAGCATATCTTAACAGATACCAGCCAATTAGCATGGTGTTTGTCAATCCTGTATTAAACGCATGACCTAGGAAAGTGACTGCTTAATGGAGATGTCTACTTGACAGAGATTTCATTGCTAAAAAATTGCTATTTGAGATTAAATTTACGTCTTTATAAAGTGTCCGCTCAATACAGGATGTCCGCTTAATACAGGTTTCACTGTATACAAGATTTCCAAAAATCGACATGCCATTTGGCATTTTTAATGCAAACCGCTTGATATAACTTACTTGTTTTACATCATTTTCGTTTGGTTTCGAAGTACACAGGATGTTTGTGACTTTCATAAGCTTGATTTTTGTCTCCTCCTTTAACGAAAATATTAACAATTGTCTCCGACCTTCACAAACACGTAAGAATAGCAGGCTGTCCAAAATTGCGGTAAAGAAACCTGGGTTACGGTGGCGTTACAGCAAAGATATAGTTTTGCGCAGACCTAATCAGAGATTTTCAAATAATTCGAGCTTGTTAGTGCAATAAAAAATCGCATTGATATTTTCTAGTCAGTGGTGAAGACATGTAGTTGCAGGTAATTGTAAACTCAAGACATGTTGTTACCGTATAATTGTAGACTGTATATGTTTGAATCAGCATGTTTGTCTTGAAAATTAGCTCATGATTGTTTTATTCAATAAATTTTTGGTTATGTTTACTTTTCAACGGCATCAAGGTACTAAATTCCTTTACAGTTAATAAAACACCTTCACAAAACATTGCCGAATTTTTAAAATTGTTGATGGATTAGATATGGTACGTCCATCATGCACTTTTAACAATGAAATATACGTGGAAAATTTGTGTCACCCAAATTGGCTTTTTCCGCCACATCAAATTTTGAACAGGCTGAATGAAGGTCGCTTGCTTGTTTCTACACACGTTAAATCAACAGAATTATCTCGCAAAAACTTACAGCAATCTTTTTCTGTTCTTCAAGTTCTTGTTGAATCTAAAAAAAGGCAAACACAACTTAAAAAAAAATGTCGCGAAATCTGTTATGAATATCCACAAAGAAACGCGTGAAGCTACAAACTGTGAACTGGTCACAACAGCAGAAACATATTTTTAAGTGAGTATTTGTCAGTGATTATCATTCTACATGCCTCTAACGGACCAAAGAAAGACCTGTTGTACAAGTTTTAAGGAGATTGTTAGCTGAAAATTGGAAATTCAACCTTCCAACCCGAACGGTATGAATCGAGAGATTGCGTTCGGCCTTTTAAAAAAAACACGTGGTGAAAAATTTATCATTCCTATTTGTTGAAAATGGCAATTGACTGGCCTGCCATTATGGCTATCACGTGCTTCAGAAGATATGCGTGGCATAAAAAATTTCAATCGAGTGGCCTTCTTCTGCATATTCCTTTCTTGTAAAAAAAACCTACTATTATAATATTGCAGCAACGAGAAAATTGCAGTCATATATACTAATCTGACTAACGAATGTTACTACTAACCTCCATCAGAATAGCACGAAGATACAAAAAGAGCAAAATCATAAAAAATATTTTCATAATCACGAAAAGTCGTTATGAAGCAAAATTTTACCATGCAGTTTTCTCAGTGTATTGCAAAGAACCGTTAAAACGACTTAATTTCTTCATGAATAGATTATTTTACTTCTTTCTTGGGATATTTAATATTATTTATTAGGCGAAAACATCACAGTCACATCACATTTCGCGATAAAATTTCAAAGACCACCAATTTTTCGCATCGTTAAAACATTTAATTCCCATGTACAACCTTTTAATAAATAAATGAGTAGATGAATATGTGCATAGATACCATAGTTTTATATTTCACAAGACATTGCAGATAGTAATTTACTATTTTACAAATCCTAATTATGTCTTGTGATGTCAGCGATGTTTTTGCATATTTACTAAAGTTACATATCTCGAGAAAGAAAAGAAACAAAATAATTTCACTGAAGAAGTTGTTAAGTCATTTTAAATGCTCTTTGCCATGCAATCGTAAAACAATGAGGTAAAAATTGGTTGATGATGACATTATGGTGTCATGATGATGTTTGGCGTATACGAGAAAGATCACGATGCAAATTTGAACGCGGTATTACAACAAATTAAAGATCGAGGACTAACTCTTAAGAAGGAGAAATGTCTGTTTAAGAAAAGAAGTTTAATATTCCAAGGGTATGTGTTCTCAGAGAATGGTATTGTACCGGATCCCAATAAAGTGAGAGCAATTAAGGAATGCACAAATCCTAAAGATGTAGGAGAAGTACGAAGTTTGTTAGGCATGACCAATTTTTGCTGTCGGTTTATTCCACATTATGCCACAATTACGGAGCCGTTGCGTCGACTTATCAAGAAAGATGCCCCATTCGTGTGGACAAGAGAACAAGAAGACACAATGAAAGCCCTACGGAAAGCAATAACAGATGGGCCAGAAAGTGCGTATTTCGACCAGGATAGTGATACGGAGGTTTTCACAGATGCTAGTCCAGTTGGTATTGCAGCAGTCTTGGCGCAGAGGAAAAAGGGAGAAGAAAAAAGGAAAATAATTGCTTACGCTAGTAAATCACTAACTATCACAGAGAAAAATTATTCTCACTTGGAAAGAGAAGCTTTAGCCATAGTATGGGCCTGCGAACACTTTCATTTATATTTGTTTGGAGGAAAATTCACCATCGTCACTGATCACAAGCCGCTGGTGAAAATATACACAAATCCATCATCAAAGCCTTCTGCGAGATTAGAACGATGGGCTTTGCGATTGTAACCATATGATTTTGAAATCTGTTTTCAACCTGGAACTGAATATCCTGCAGATTTTCTCTCACGTCATCCCTTATCTGATGAGAAACTAAACAACCGGCAAGAGAAAGTAGCAGAAGAGTTTGTTAATTATGTTACACAGGACTCGGTTCCAAAAACAATCAGCAGAAAAGATCTGGAAGAAGCTACAAGAGAAGACATTACTCTTCGAGCAGTAATTCAAGCCATTGAAACAGGTAGATGGTTTGCGAGTTCAAAGATGGTAGGAGTAAATCAAGCAGAATTTAGTTCATATGAGAAACTTAAAGATGAACTATGCATATCTTCGGGAATAATTCTACGAAAACATCAAATAATCATACCAGAAAGTTTACGAGAGAAAGTAGTGAACATTGCTCATGAAGGTCATATGGGAATGTCAAAAACGAAAGCGTTATTACGTGAAAAGGTATGGTTTCCACGTATAGATGAGTTAGTTAATGAAAAAGTTAAATCGTGTTTAGCCTGTCAGATTACAACTCCAGTCAGTGAAAAGGAACCATTGAAAATGTCAGAGTTGCCAAGATATCCTTGGAAAGAGCTAAGTATGGACTTTGGTGTAGCTCCTACAGGCACAGGTGAATATTTGTTTGTTTTGTATGATGATTTTTCCAGATATCCTATTGTAGAAGTAATCCGATCAACGTCCGCAAAGACTGTTATACCCTGTTTGGATAAGATTCTTTCGGAGTTCGGGATACCAGATACGATACGTTCAGACAATGGACCGCCATTCAATAGCAAGGAATTTTACGAGTTTTCAAAGTATTTGGGATTTAAACACAGAAAAGTTACTCCTTATTGGCCACGAGCCAACGGGAAAGTGAAAAGATTTATGCGTACTATCAAAAAGACAATAAAGGCTACGATAATGGAGGGAAAAAATTGGAAGCAAGAAATCCACAGGTTCCTGCGAAATTATCGTACCACACCTCATAGTTCGACCAAAATCTCTTCATCTATGGCTTTATTCGGTCGACCAATGAAAGTACGTTTACCTGAAGAACTATTTCATATAGATACAGAGGAAAGAATTCGAGTACAGGATGAAAGAGCAAAATTGAAGATGAAATTACATGCAGACAATAACAGGAACGTAAAGACAAGTGAGATTAAAGTAGGTGATATGGTGTTAGTAAAGAAAGACACGACCACTAATAAACAACAAACACCCTATGATGGTAAGCCATGTGAAGTCGTGGAAAGAAAAGGTTCAATGGTAACAGCGAAGAAAGATAGAATGTTGTTTACTCGTAATTCGTCATTTTTCAAGAAGATAGAAAATGGGAAAAGTCTAGGAGAACCCATTGAGGAAAGTATAAAGGAAAAAGAACGGCGGTATCCTTTGCGTACAAGAAAAGCCCCTATTCGATACGGACAAGTTGAAAGTTAATTTAGAGATAAAAGTTATTTAGCTATAAAAGAAACAATTAATATTTTCACATACGAATTTAGAGATACAAAAATACAAAAAAAATATATTTAATTAGTTTTGGGAGAGGTGTAGTATAGTTATTAGGTAATTAATAATTGGTATTTCGTACGTCATATTACGTATATTATAATCAAGTAAAGATTGGTATAAAAGTAATATGACAAAGCAATAAAAGGGAGAAATCTCACAATATTACATCTGGCGACAAAGATTGTTAAGGTACGAAGAAATATGATTTGATCCTGAGAAAGATACTACATTTCGAACATGACAGCTTTGCCTAGCTTCCCGACGTTCAACTTAGAAGAACCAGACCTTAGAAAAGCTTTGGAGAATTTGTTGTTGGCAATGACGAGCCAGATAGAGAAGAAGATGTATTTAGAAAAGCGGAGAAAGCGTTACGAAATTACTTCACTCCACAGAAGAATATAGAATTCGAAGTTTATAAGTTTCATCAAGCGAAACAACTCCCAGGCGAAAACATATCCGCGTACTATACAAGATTGAAACAATTGGCCAAACCCTCGAATTTCATGAAGAAAGCAGAGAGATAAAAATTCAGATAATACAAAATGGTTTGTCTTCAAAATTGCGGAGAAAAGCGTTAGCAGACCCCGAAATAACGATGGAGAAATTAATACAAATGGGAAAAACAATGTGGATGTCAAAAACACAAGCAGAAGGCATCGAAAGCACGAATCGAATTTGACATAAAAGAAAGCAGTTCAAGACGCCCACGGATAAAACCTCAAATGCTTCCGAATATTCATCGAAGATCAAATGCAAATTTTGTGCTCATGAACATCGACCAGGGAAAACAAATTGCCCGGCATATGGAAAGAAATGTCGACAGTGTTTAAAGTGGAACCATTTTCAAGTTTTTTGCTATGACAATCGAAGAGGCAAAGAGCTGATGCAAGACAATTATCAAAGTTCTCGCGCTAAATCAACAAAGCGAAACGGACAGATGAAACGTAATCAAGTAAGACCTCGACAAGTGAATACGGTGCAAGAAATAACGTCCGAGTCAAGTATGGAAGATGAATATGTATTTTCAACGTTGACGGCGCAACAAAAGCTCCCGAAATTTAAAGTTAAGATAAATGGTACTCCTGTGTCAGTCATGGCAGATACCGGTTCCAGCGTAAATCTCTTGGATGAAGTGAATTTTAACAAATTGAAGAAAAAGCCAATATCGCAGGATGCAAATGAGAAAATCTTTCCTTATGGGTCGGAGAAACAACTATCAATTAAAGGAAAATGTCAGTGTGTGGTCGAAACCGAGAAACTATATGGGTTGGAGACAATTTTTTGTTGTTAATGGGAATACGGGTTGCTTGATAAGCTGGAAAAGTTCTCAAAAATTGGGCCTGGTACAAATAGTTGCATCCATAGAAGGCACTACAAAGTCTAAACAGGAACCCGTTAAAGAAAAGGCACAAGAAAAAGTGAGAGAAGATACCAAAGTAGAAGAGCTAATTAACAAATATCAAGAAGTCTTTCAAGGACTGGGAAAATTGAAAGGGTTTCAAGTTCATCCACACGTAGATAAGGACGTAAAACCTATCGCACAACCTCATCGTCGGGTGCCGTTTCATGTGAGAAAAGACTTGGAGAATCAGTTAAAACGAGACGAAGAGCGTGGAGTCATAGAGAAAACGGATGGACCAACACCTTGGGTTTCACCAGTCGTGGTCGTACCAAAACAAAAAGGGGAGGTCCGAGTTTGTATAGATATGCGACAAGTAAACAAAGCAATCAAAAGAGAACGACACTTGACTCCGACAATTGGCGAAATTATAAGTGATCTAAATGGTGCTGCAACAGTTCATATAAATGTTGCTGGACACAAATATGGCACAATTCATTGATCGAGAACCATAAATCTTCGCACATCAAATAAAACGTAATCAATAACAATCAAACCACCACAATCCCTTAGCAAAACTGAACTCTGGTGCTTTATCTGTTGAAGAGATATACGTAAGGCACACACTGACACACAAACACAGTTATTTCTTCACATCATTTCTGAAAATCATTTCGCTATAGCAAGTATCCAACGAAACATTACCTCGTTCACTTCTTGTTTATTTTTTATTTGTTTGGCTCGGCTCGCGAACTGAAAAAAGAAACACGCTGTCTTCATCAAAAAAGTTCTCGGGGAACTACTACATTCTTAGAAGTGTAACAAGCTCTAGTTTAACATTATGGAGCTCAAAAGACGGAAAAGGCAAAAACAATTCTCACATTTCTTTGTAATACGAATATTACAGGCAAGTGAGCCAACACATAATTTTCAATAGAAGCATAACAAAAACTTGTGGTAAGAGGGGTTTTTTGACGTTTCATCTGTTTAAGTTAAGACATCTTCTAACAAATCAGGATGAGACTCAATTCGTAATTCAAAGATGACTTTCAAGTCTGTTTTAAAAGATTTCGCCGCCTAAATAAATTGCTCACCCCTCTAAGAAACATTTTAACGCCCTCCCAACGTTTAGCAAAACAAGTCGGCAGGAAAGCTGATCAGATTTTTTTGGCAATGTTTGAACTCTCAACACTATAACCCTCGGTATCTGTAGCATCCGACCACACCTAAGTTTCTTTACTTTGTCTTCATTCTTAAGTCATTTCCTTACCACTTACCCCTCCACCAAAATATTTTAGCACCACCCGAGCAAAAAATATGAAATCCGTTCATGTGCAATTTTTGAACTATACAATACTTCCTGACTGGCTTAACAGGCAATCATGCTCACATAAGTAACAAGCAATGATAAATCCGCATAACTATTATTCATAACTATTTTGAGTAACATCAATGTGCTTTTTTATGAAAATATATGTTGAGGGTACTGTGATAGAAAATTAGTTTACATGCTTTTAAAAATATTTAATAAAAAAAACGTTGTGTCTGAGATAGTACACTTATTACCTCATTAATTATGCAATTACGAAAAAGGAAACTGCTCTCCCTGCGAAAAACGCACCAGCAAATCCCTGTCTACCGTGATGTTTCGATATGCTGGAGGTTGTTTGGTAACTTCGAAGGTTTCAATTTCATATGATATCATGATTATCATAATCTTACATAAGAATGTAATAATGCATGAGGAGATCATTAGAAGGCTGTTGGAGTAAACAAAAGCAAAAAAGTTAAGTTCAAACCAGGCAAGCTCCATAAATGTAAAACATTGAACCAGGCCAGAAACCTGATGATGAAAAAATATCTGTAATCGCTGATATGCCCATGCCTGGGTGAAAGAAAGAGCTTTCCAAGATTTTTTAAACTGGTTAACTTCTTTTTAAATTTTATACTTAACCAATCAAGCATTGATGGCAGCTCTTTAATGAAACGCTAAAAAAAGAATCTCTTTGTGTGTCTTCTTATATATATTCAGATGCAGTAGAGAAATTAAAAATTGCCTTGTCAAGTCAACAAGTCTTAAAATTCTTGATCCTGCCAAGCTTGTCAAGATCCAAGTTGATGGTTCTAAGGATGGTCTTGATGTTTATATGGTTGTTGCTGGAACGTCATGCCGTCGCGTAGCCATTACAGTTATTGACCTCTGCTAATGCTGAAATTAAGATGGAGCTGGTGTCTGTTATGTTTAGATGTGAGATATTCCATTGCTATGTGTATGGCAGACCTATAACTGTTCACAAGCCTCATGGCTCAATCACAAGGAAACCCTTAGCACTAGTACCTCCACGCTCCAAATATTGTTGCTGAGACTCCAACGATATGAGATCATAATCAAATACATTCCAGGCAAGTAGCTACATACATGCATGCATGTGGCTGATGCGCCTATGCATGAACGATGCACCCTCGCAAGCATGTCTATCAGAAAGCCTTACAAATGACGAAGTGAATGCTGATGCTGGGAAAGCAGTTCAGTATTGATGATAATTTACCAAGACTGCCGAAAAGATACAGGAAATGAAGTTGTGACCACACAGGATGATATCCTGAAGCAGTTATCAAACTTTGTTGAAAACTGCAGGCCATTTTAGCTAACATGCCGCCAAATTCTTATTCATTATTAAAAACTTAAAGCTGACATGCATGAAGTCAATGGTTTGTTGTTCTATGGCCTGAAGCAGGGGCGGATCTAGGATTTTTCAAACATCAGTCATAAAACGTCGGAGGCGCTCCGCACCTGGAGTGGTCTGAGGCATTCTCCCCTGAGAAATTTTGAATTTCAGAGCCTTGAAGATGCCATTTTCAGCGTTATAGAACAATACAAAATGTATTTTGTGGGCATCATTTTTGCGTAAGAAGAACACATTTTGCTTACGTTTTTTTCAAAAAAAAAATGAAGTGAACAATACTTGAATGTTTTGCTAAATATTTAGGCTAACTATCATGCCAAATATATGGCTCATTAGCATGTCTAGGAACGTAAAATTTATTTTACAATAATGCTATTCCAAAACAGATATAGTCTTTAAAAATTTCTACCAAGTAACCTCTATGTAATGAGTTAAGTTAGAAATTTGGTACTACAAGTGACAGTTCATAGATATAGAAAAGCTCAGACTTTAAACCATGCAAGTTTATTGTAACCCTTTACCAATCTCCACATCAGTGCCAGCAAATTCACTTTTTTGGAAAAAACTCAAAATCTTTTTCTGCCAAAGATTAAGCAAAAATTATTAGAGTGAAAATTGGCAGTTAAGGACAGCTTAATGCCATAAATGTTTATTAGGCATTTCACTAGACTATTATCTTCTGCAAGGTGTGCTATATAGCAATCACTAGTAGCATTGTATTTGCAAATACAAACAGAATGTAACCAACATGTCTTTAATTATATAATTACATGAATGTTAAAATTGGTTCATGTGTCATGCTTACTGGTTATGATAATTATCTTTTCATATGATCAAAGCTCGTTTAAATGTAAATCTGAAATAATTTAGTTTAGAAATTATAATGATCATCAGAAAAATTACCTAGTGATCATGAAAAACACTTTCCTGTTTTGCCAAATTTCAAGGTTTATCTGCATACATAGAAAGACATTTTTACTTTATAGAAAATGCTTTTCATACATCAATAGCCCTTTGGAATTTATGGCAAACAATCTGGTATGAGCCGTAGATTAACACACCTTTACATCTCTACATGAGGTGTTCAGTTAGAAAAGGGGACAATATGTGACATGGAACAACATTTCATGTATGTGAAATACTCAGGTTTAATACCATTCCAGTCAAATTGTCAAAATAAAAAGCTTCATTGATCGGAAGACTCAAAATCACAGGTTATAGTAAACAGCTTTTCACGTAATCAATGTTAGTTTTCTCAAATATTAAACAATATATAGTATAACTGTCCAATGATTGAATAATCAATGATCAAAACTGAAAAGCCCCAAACATTTGTTTATGATAAAGTAAATAATAGTATGGCGCCTTATGGCTACAGATTTTTTGTCCATTGAAATATATTTGCAGGAATGTACGATTTCGCTGCCATATAACGGCCACGATTCCCCAAGCACTAAAGAAATCATAGCTAAAAGTCCTTCGGCAACAACAATTTTAGAAGCATCAATCTGTTTACCATACGCCATATTAACATAAATCGCATCACACTTTCGCATAAATTGACTTTGATATATTGCATTCATGCATACACTTCAGTTGTCCTTTACTTACGATTTTGGATGTAAATTTCTGCTGATAAAACTCAAAACAATGTTGGCTTTCTTTTGAACATCAATGACTGAAATTTCGCTCGCGAGATCGTCTTTGCCAAGCATTTACAATTCATCCATAAATTTTTCACCCTCTTGAAAAAATTCCCAGTTTGGACAGCAGTATTCATGTCAATATATGAATTTGTAAAAGATTTCCATAAATTCCATCTGATTGTCGTTTAGTTTCTATCATGCTTTAGAAAATTACTATGAAACGATCAAACATTCAATTCAGAGAGTGAGCTTGACTATGTTAGTTCAGTTGGCTATCAGTCGAAATAAGTCAAACCAATCACAGTAAGACGAAAATTTAAACGAACCAATTACACGATAGCAAGTGGACTCCCTTATAGGTCCGGCCACCCCGGTTATCGATCGAGATTATTCCAGATCGTCCACTGATCTGGCTATTGACCAATGAAATAAGCGTTTTTGGCGTTCAGACTCCTTTATCAGTCGAACCAGTCAAGCCACCCGGCTGATCAGTCGGTTATTCCAGGTCAATTAAAATTCAACTGATCTGGTTACCAACGAGATATTCATTGCATTAGTCATTAGTTTTCAATAATAGATAAAGCTGGATTTTTATCACGAAGTAAATGCGATAATAAAGTAAGAATAATCAATGAATTTTTAATTAATATGAATAGGTAATTTTTGAATTCAAACATCAGTCACGCGACGGATTTGACATACTTTAGATCCGCCCCTGGCCTGAAGTTAATTATGGCAGAGAAACTAAAACCCAATATCATTAGCATAGTATTTGTGAAAGCTACTTGGGTATGGAAAAGTGTAACACGAAAGTTTTAGAGCTGTATTATAAAGGCCTGGTATGTCTTCAGACACTTAAATGGTTTACAAATATTCGATGTATTTGAAGTGTCACAGATATAATCAGAAGTAGGCCCTGAAACCCATGTTATTACTGAAAGAGCATGGCAGAAATTGGGAGCTAATAAATTTGTATATATTTCAAAACCTTACTTAGTAATTTACTCAAATAATAACATTGTTACATCGGGATATTTTCTTTTCTTATCACAGGGACGTTTGCTGACGTATTTCCCTCAATTATGGAATCCTAGGTATAAGGAATATTTAGTTTTAAAGCAGTTGTTTTCGTGTTGTCTACAGGCTGATGTAGTAAGTTGTCATTTTGAGCAATAGCATTTCATGAAATGTAATTGAAAATGTTTTGATTATAGTAGTAATATGGCTATGGTGACCAAAGCAATGTTAAATTCACTTTGGTCATTTTAGACAAACAAACACAGACGCAAACGTGCAAGTGGCATGACTTTTGACTTGCAAGTGGTATGTTCCACATAAAACTACTATTTCCTGTTTTATACTGCTAACCTTAGTCCAACTGGATAGGCCAAAACTGCGACCACTTGTGTGTTTCTTGATCTTCGCTCGCGTGTTCTTTGATTGCCGCTGCACATGCGCAACTAACAGCTATGCTACTGTAAAATGTGTTGGAGGCATGTCTGAAGCCGTGTCAAACTTTGAGTGTCAGTTGTTATCATAGGTAAACATTAAATATACAAGCAATCACGAAGAATACTGTTTTTGACTTTTGTCGCTTTCTCTGGAATATATCACAGGTAATTTTCATAACGATTGCGACTTCATAGTGAAACTTCGTAATACAAAGCTTTATTTGCAACATATATGTTGTGCGTTTAGACTTTGAGTAAATAAAAGTGCTATTTTACAATTTCAGTAATTAATTTTTTATTTATATATCATGTTTGGTATTTGGATTGCTCAATTTTCCTTTCTAGTAGAAAGTTTACGGCAATCTACTTAAACTTGTACTGTGTTTGTCCCAAAGAAAATATTACATTGCAAAATTCAAAACAAAAAAAATACTTGCATTCGTCTGCGTTCTAAGATCAAATAAAACTTATCTGCAATCATCACCGAATCGTCGGAGGCATAGCCAATGTTGTGAGTAAATATTAAGTACAAAATAACACTGGTAAAACGCAATCACAATTAATAAGTAAATCTTGTTCATGCGAACGGTACGCAAACTCTTTTTTCTTATTTGGCACAGCTTAATACTTTGATTGTATTTTTTACATATAGCTCAGTTGACTCTGATCACAGTGGTCTTTCATAAAAGAGAAAATGTTGTCTGTGCTGATTTACGAAGATCTATCGTTATTCAAGTGTCGAATGTATGTCATAAATTTGTGTTGAACAATGATTTTGAAAGATAGGTTATTGTAGATAATGTAGTATTCATGGAAAACGTGGTTTTCTTAAAAATGATGTGTTTATTGTTAAAACTGGCGAGACATCTTAGGGGCTTAACAGGTAATCTAAGCAGGAACCGAAAGGGACTGTCACCTGGTCATATATAAACAGTTAGCACGAAAACACATAATTCAAACAAGTTTTTCTTAAGTAAGATTGAACATTTAGCTATATTATCAAAATTACAGTCACTACTTCATTGTGTGACGACAAATTTAACTGGCTACTCACATGTACCAATTGCGTACAAATACCCAATGTATTGCATACCCAATGACCGCGCATATTTCTTGAGTGGTCAATTTTTATATATTGAATAAATTTTTCTTGATAGTCCTACTACGCAAATTTCAACTATTGCTTTTTGTCCAGTTTGCATTTCATTGAGTCTACTTTTGTTTACAAATCACACAATTAAAGTGTGGTATATCATACATTTAAATTAAACAATTTCAAGTTCCAATGTTGTGAGTGATTTATCGGGATAACACTAATGAAAAAACATTTAGATTTTTGTCATGACGCGTAAGTCAAATGAAGTATACTTCTCTGTCACTGTTTTCAATATCAGTTATGTAAATTGTTTTCATTGCATTATTAATATTTAAGACACACGATATTATGTTTATGCATTCAAACGTTGTTTTATATTCGTCAAAGTAAAGTATTTTTATCAATGAACTTTTTTTAAAACGATTGAAATTTAAAATCGTCAATTTAAGTTACCATGTCTAACAATAACCAGTTAAACAATGAGCTTTAAGACAGAAAGTAATTATCACTTTTCTAACTCATAACACCTGCATATTTAAACAATTAATCATTTTAATGAATCTCACACCTCTTTTAAAATAATAACATAGTGATTCACAACAGTCGTAAATATGTTTGTAGCATCATGTGTAATAACACATCTCAGCAGTTATAAAGCAAGTTTTAGTTTGTCAATTTAGTCTAATGTTCCATTTGTAATAATTTTAAACATAATTATTGCGTGTCCCATCTCTTACTTCAAATATCGAGTTAAAGATGGACATTTTATTTGGAGTATGTTCTGTTGCATTAAGTTATTTTCATTTATGCGTTTGCAATTCTTTGTAAATCGTATTTAAATAATTGCATGTACATGCCATTTGAAAAGATTCCCCATTTTTATCACGACTTGAACAAACACCTGCTTTCTCATCTGCTTAAGTTTGCATTTTCAACTTCGTGTGACGCTTCTATATAAAGTTGCAAAAAAGTCATATACTGCCATTTGTTAACTTCTAACAGAAACAGATAGAAAACAGTGCAACATGGCAAATAAAAGACATCCACTCATTGTTGACCTTACTTTTCCAGTTGCTATATTTGGCATCATTGGCAACTCTCTTGTCATTATCTCGATATTACAACGACGACGGGTGTAGATAAAAAGCAGGCGCGGACGACGGACGCGGACGGCGGACGCAGACGACGGAAGCGGACGGCGGACGCAGATGTAAGACGAACGTCTGTTTGTACGAACGTCTGTTTGTACGAACGTCTGTTTGTTGTGGGGTGTAGATAAAACGCAATCAAAAAGCCTTTATGATATTTCCCGTCGTAATTTCCGTATAACTTAGAGTCAAATTTAAAATTCTGTACACAAACACAAATAGAAGTACACGAACACAAATAGAAGTACACAAACACAAATAGAAGTACACGAACACAAATAGAAGTACACAAACACAAATAGAAGTACACAAACACAAATAGAAGTACACAAACACAAATAGAAGTACACGAACACAAATAGAAGTACACGAACACAAATAGAAGTACACAAACACAAATAGAAGTACACAAACACAAATAGAAGTACACCAACACAAATGGAACTGGACAAACACAAATGGAAGCACACAATGTTACACAAACACGCAATTCAACAGCGAATGATCAGATCATTTTTTTCTCGTATACGATTAGAAGCTTGAGACTTGTCATTATAGACAAATTTTCTGATGTTTTGTCAGACTTGTGGCACAGCCATTAACCATCAAAAAGCCAATTTCTGTGGGAACTGCGGTGCAGAAATAATGAAATGCACACCAGACCGTGAATATGAAGGTACATCTCAAAGTACATCTTACACCATTGATCATAATTCTACAAAGCAGTCTTTAACCTTCTGTGAGTTTATGGAAAGAAGACAAAAATTACAGACTCAAGAAGAAGAGATTAACTCCATTCAAAAACGGAAAAAGAATGAACGTGTGTGTCACATCTCGAAAAAGAAAAAGAACAAAGAAGAACTGGTTAAGGTGAGTGTCTTTGTAAGTTCCCATTCTCAGTTTAAGATGTTCATGTCAGATATCTACAAACACAGTTTTAGTTGTACTTTGTTACCCCCCAATGAACCCTTTCTTATTGTTATTTATTATCTTTGTGCAGATCAATATAGGAGTTGCAGAGGTTGATGTTGACTGCAGAAAATTGAAAATTAGAAGAGGATCCCTTCTTCCAGTTGAAGTGCTAAAAACTGATTATCATGTTGCTGTTAAAGAAAAGGGAATTACAAAACAATTGGCACACAACAAACATATGAGAGAAATTGGTCATTGTGGTTGGATTCTTTTGTATCCAGATTTTGATCAGGTGCTTCATCTCCCTGGAACACAAAGTCCATTCTCAGTGGAAAAGTATAAAGAGTCCATAGGAAGAGCATATTCTCGTGTCAACTTATATTTATGTCGAATACATGACTATGAACGTAAGTAGCACCCTTACACTTCACAATAAAAATACCTGTAAATGTTCTGTACATAGTCTTTACCATAGTCATAGGGCAGCAATGAATGTATGCACATATTGCTGGTGCCATATATTTAGACATGTTAATCTTAATGTGAGAGAACAGTTGACATACAATTTTGTTTGCTTAAAATGAATTATGGGCTTGTCTTACAAAAATGTTTGAATGAAATGTGTAACTGTTATGTCGTAGTTGCGAATGACCTGGATGATAGTGAAGAACTGGCACATGTATATGCTGGGATGGAGAGCAAACCATGTTCACCGACAATACAGGCAGTTGCTAATGATACATTCCAAGTGAACAGCAATGTTTGTGAGATGCCTGATCCTCCAAATGCATTTAACTCTGATGATGTTCCAGATTCTTTACTGATAGCTGCTATGGAAACACCTTCCAATGATTTGGAAAATAGTTTTGAAGGGGATGTGCAGTTTAGACTTCATGAAGGTTTGTTGTTACTTTTGTGACCTTATTTTGTATAGTAATTGGATTAATATATGATATGGGAATTGTAAAATTAAATTTTATTCTTAAAGAATTGCATAAGTCATTTGTCACATTTGAAATATGAACAAAGATAATTCATTATTATTATCTTGAATTATTTTTTGATGTATTCTTTGTTATTTAACATTGATCCTGTGGTGGTCTTTGTATAAATGGTTTTCTTAACTTTTACTCACATTGTGAGATACTGAAAAGCAATATTTTTAGAAAATCTATTGTAAATTAGAGCTTTACACAAAACCAAGCAATTGTTGTTCTTTTGTTGGGTTAGGTATATAAAATTATGAATTTGAAATTTCCCAATTGAAGGTGATAAATTAATGGAATGGTGAAAGCAGCAAATCTACAGAAACTGTTCAAAACATATTGCATATTTAGGTTACGTTGTTTTTTTCTAGATCAGAGCGATTCACTAAATCATGCCGACGTAATGGATCGTGGAACAAGTTCAATCATGGTGCAGTTTGAAAGAAGCCAGCCTGAAGTCACTCCCGACAAAATGGAAATAACTATTCATCGATCAACACTTATGAAAGATCTAATTGCTGCATTTTGTGATCCCAAAGTGTCGAATTCAATTTTGTTTTTTAAAGTCGTTGATGCACGAGGTGTTGAAGAGAGAGGTGAAGGAAAGGGTGTTGCTAGGGATGTGCTTACAGAATTTTGGTGTCTCTTCTTTCAGTCTCTTGCTGTAGGGGCCGCGGCTAAAGTTCCCGTAATACGACATGATTACCAGAAAGATCAGTGGGAAGCAATAGCTAGAATATTGTTATACGGATACAGCAAAGAGGGGATTTTCCCTATTTCCTTGTCAGCCGTTTTTGTCGCTAGTTGTATTCTGGGCGATGACGACATTTCTGACGATATGTTGTTGCAGGCATTTAAGCTGTATGTATCTGAAGATGAAAAAGATGTCATCATTGATTGTTTGCAAAATTGCGAGAACTTCGTGCAGAATACGGACTTATTAGACCTGCTAAGCAGCTACAACTGTTACAGAAATCCAAGCGGCGAAAACATTGAAAGTATTATCGCCCAACTTGCCCATCAAGAACTCATTCAGAAGCCGGGCTACGTAAGCAACTGCTGGAATCCGATACTACAATCGATGAATGTCGAAAGTACACAATTCCAGAATATCTCAAACATTCTTTTGTTTTACGATGAAAAAAAGCCTACGCCAAAGAAAGTCATTAAAATGCTTGATGCATCTCCGCAAAATGACAACGAGCACGTAACGTTCGAACACTTGACCAAATTCATTAAATCTCTTGGAAGTAACGTCGGTGCATTTCTTCAGTTCACTACTGGAGCCAGTGTGGTTCTGCCCGAAATGAAATTAAAGGTCACATTCACTGACTTAAATGGTTTAGCTCGTCGGCCTGTGGCGCATACTTGTGGTCCTTTACTTGAAGTCCCTAGCACCTATCAGTGCTACAATGAGCTAGTTGAAGAGTTCTCATCAATTCTTCGCGAGAAGAGTTCGTGGACTTTGATATTGTCTAATGGGGACATTGAAGTTATATCTACGTACGCTTTATCTGAATTTTATGTGGCACTCTAGTTTTGTTAGCTTTGTACATGTTATGACATGTGATGTTTCGTTGTTGTTGGTGAAATCCATGATATACTGTTAAAACAATCTTTCACATTATTTTATTTTCTATGTCAAAACTAAATATCTACTGTAGTTTTACTTTCAATCTATTTTTTTGGTTGGCAAGAGCGATATATGGGATTTTTCATCACTTCCGTGGCTCTATTGTTACGTAAGAGCGTTTGCGATTCTTAATAAATGTTTGAAAAAGTTATTTTTCATGTCATACATAACAACAGTTCCTCTACAAGAGAAAGTGCTTTACAAATATTTAACACACCAGCACATGGCACTAATTATTCTAAGAATGATTTGGTTGTGCTTCTGCTAACAAACGTTCTTACGTGATCAACGCACTTCTCCAGTTCTGCGGTGTTTCAACTTCAAGCAAATGTGCATTGTATGTAAAATATTCTTGATAAATACAATTTTCATTATCTGTCATGCCAATGAAGTCTTCCGCCTGATTAAGATCTCGTTGATCAAACATTTTCTTGTAATCTTCTGCTTCAACAGATTCAGGAAGAAAATAAAGCTGATTTGGAATACCAGGTACAGTATGGTAGCGTGATTTGCGTACGTAATGAGAATTCTATGATTCTTTCATTTCACTTAGTGAGTCCTTCATCACTGGGTGAAAGCAGAACCAAAGACACTGAAGATGCATAACGTTGCTAGTATCCAGTACACCGCGGGCAATAAGATCCTTAAAAAAGTTTATCCACCATGACGCCCATGATTTACGCAACATGGCCCACCAGGCTTCTATCCTTTGGTTGGTATGCGATGACCCATAGCGATGTGCTTTTAAATCTGCTAGAGAATCCTGGTGGTTTCTTCGTAGAAAGCATTGAATGGTGGCCATTATACCATTCTCCGTACCTCTATCGGTTCTTAACAGAGTAGGACAACATTGTATGTTCTGAACACAGTCGAAAAACAAACGACCAACGACTCGAGGATCGTTATTCGATTTGACGATTTCCAACCATGATATTCGGCGACTAAAGCCATCAATGCATCCATGAATTGCAAAGCCATATGGCTTCAGTTTATCATAACCGTCAGCGTGCCACGCATAGTTGGGTCCGGGATTCAAATAGTTTCTTCTTGTAAGCCTGTTTGCTCGTCGAAGTCTCGATGCTTCAGGGTCGATTTCTTTAAGTACAGTTTGAACAACCGAACGTCGTACCTGTACGTTATATTTAGATTGCAGTCTTCTCCAAATAGCTCTATAGCCAAGCATATTACCGCATCCATCAATTTCTCGTAAAATGTATTCTCTGATACGATTTTCGTCAACAACATTCCCGCGCCGACGCAACCCAAACTGTTTTAACTTATTTAAAAGCGTACTTCTTGAAATGGAAATGCCATGGAATTTATCGAGTAAACTCAAAATAGTTTTGTATTGATAATTCTTACTAAAATAATATCGTATCGCTTCTTCCATTTTGTGGATGTAAGCTCAAAGTATTAAATCGTTAGCAATTGTGATGACCGCTATACTTCTCATTTAGTCATTGTTGCTATTTAACCAGAATATGAATTTGTGTTTGTCTACTTCCATTTGTGTTGGTGTACTTCTGTTTGTGTTTGTGTACTTCTATTTGTGTTTGTGTACTTCTATTTGTGTTTGTGTACTTCTATTTGTGTTTGTGTACTTCTATTTGTGTTTGTGTACTTCTATTTGTGTTCGTGTACTTCTATTTGTGTTTGTGTACTTCTATTTGTGTTCGTGTACTTCTATTTGTGTTTGTGTACTTCTATTTGTGTTCGTGTACTTCTATTTGTGTTTGTGTACTTCTATTTGTGTTCGTGTACTTCTATTTGCGTTTGTGTACTTCCATTTGTGTTCGTGTACTTCCATTTGTGTTCGTGTATTGTACTTGTGGGCCACCGTAGCTAAGAAATATTTAATACGCGGCATTTGAATAGTCGAAGTAAACAAAATACCGTCCGAATTACAATCGGCCTAATCTTTTGAAGTTAGTAACGAGAAATTCTTCAATAAATATTCAGGCTTAAAATAATGCGGGAAAGCACTGTCCAAATGAGCTTTAAAGGTTCCGAAAGATGTAAATAAACATGTGATTAAACTGAGGTCAAATTTATTAATATAATATTACCATTGAAAATGTACCTAAATGTAGCTCAGTAAAACCATTCACTGTTTTGTATCGTATTAAGGCTATAAAATAACGAAGCAAAGTAGTTTATTTTTGTGATCGAGAAACTATGAGGCCTTATTGTTATTTATTCGCTAATTTGTTGCAATTGTTAATGGCATCGTGGCATGTACAAAGTAAGAACGAAGTTTATATGCAATAAAACTTGAACATGAATTAGTCAAATATTTAAACATGAAGCTAGTATATTTAATGGTAAAACAAAAGTCACATAACAATGGCACTACTACATATCAGACGTGTGTAAACAGCTAACAAAATTATGTGATAGTGATTGCCTCTATCAATACATGTCAATAAACTTGTTGGCAGTGTTCGTATATAATTCATTGTGAATATCCCACATGAATAAAGTATCATTCCCTTTGTAAATTGTTTTGTTTACCCATTTAATACAATGTGCCCATAGCTTAGTTCAGGAGCGGAACCAGTATTTTGCGTGACTGATGCACTCGAGCGCCAAAGGCGCCAGCCCGCTAGGGGGGGTTTGGAAAATTTTGAATTTTACAAGCTCGGAAACGCAATTTCCTGTGTTTTGAAAGCACTTCTACCAAAAATTTATGCACAAATCAGCTGGCCAACTTTTCGTAAAATATCATCCCAAAATTTCCACTATATTTCGAAAGATTCCATCAATTTTATGAGCTTTATCCAGTATTATATGTTCTTACTAATTAACATTCCAACATTGATGTGTGTAAAAAGAGAAATGCATGTCACCCTTTTCGCCATCCAAGACACAAAAACAATAATTTAGGCCCTTTTTGACTCACTGGATGCGCGCTCGATAAATGCTAAGCAGTTTATTCATTTTTCAACAGGACAACGGCAGGAGCCAAAGACTGCCAGCCCTCCCCCAGCGCCCTGCGCTGCCGCCCTCGTGGTCTATTAGTTAGTACTCGTCGAGAGGGTCCCCCTCGAAGACACAGCCCAACATGTTGAGGTGGACATCTAATCGCTCCCTTGCAAGCTCAACTCGACGTTGCAGTTCCTCGGGAGCAGCGCTGTTGCCGCACAGGCGGCAAACGAATTTCATAGCTTTGCTACCAACCACGCGCAATTATGCCGCCGAGCATTTCGATGGTCGGCGGCATAATCGCTAGATTCATGACGCTCATAGCGCCAGTTTGACATGCCAAACACTTCACACCAAGATGATGCACCTGGGGATGTAACGCAGTCAATGGCGCGCAAAGTTTATGTCTAGCGTGAATTGCCATCCGCCACTTGACGCTGAATTTTTTTCAGAGCGTCCATGTGCCCGAGCTGAATGCCTTCCTTACGCCCGCTCGCATGTGCAGCGTTCAGCTGTGCTTCTATCTCTCGTGTCTGTTCGCGGAGAGCTCTCTTGGTCTGGCTTCTAATGTCGCTTGTCAACGAAGCGAAACGCTCTGCTTCGCAAAAAACGAGCTGGTACTCACTTTCGCTGCAGTTGCCATCTCGAAGCGCTCGGCAGGTGATCAGCGAGATTGCTCGAAGCACGGTTTCAGCCGACGTCCGAATGCGATCGTGTTTTTCAGCTTTCTTGCCTAATCTGCGGCTCACGACCCCACCAGTGAAAGTGGCCGTGCTGCAAACAGATGCGTAGTAATATGCGTAGTAATGCGCGTAGGAGGGCGTCCCGCCCTCATCGCAGTGTCATCGGGACGACGATACTCAAGTCACTTGGCGGCCTGAGCTTGGGTGAGAACGGCCTCCAGCTGTGTACAGGTGGGACGGTGAAAAGCATATTCCCATGCAGGGAATGACTGTTATGCGAATAAGCTTGGGGTTAGCCAACACCGTCTTGATCTTACGCTCTTCTTCCTGGAGCGTCGAGGAGGAAATTCTTGGCCGCGTCAGGCCCTCGGTAATGCTGCGGCTGCTGAGTTTCCCCATCGGAGCGAACGACTATGAATAAGTAGCCGCTTGCCTCGTGTCTGAAGACTTGCTAAGTGCTGCTCTTTTTAGAGTTAAGCGCGGGGCCCTCGATTTTACGAATCAGGCTCTCAAAGTCAGCGTAGATTATGAAGGGCGCTTTAAGCTGCTTGTGGTAATTCTCAAAGCGGATTTTGTCATTTTTTCCGAGGGATGACATTCTGATTGCAACCGCTGCTTGGTTGATGCCTCGACATTCAGGCTTATGCTCTTCCAGCAAATCATGTCTGGTGAAGCCATGAAGGCAACGCTCAAAGAAGTGCAGCCGGTGGCTATTCTTTGATTTCCGGTTGAAGTCCTTCATCCAAGTATAGTGGTGTTTCTCAGGATTTTTCGAATCCAAGACGAGGAAGTAATTCACAGTCTTGTGAGCTCTTTCTACTTTGCTCAGACGGCAAGGAACGACGCCGCCTTCCCAACCATACACGTTGATAGCAAGGTCGTTCTTACGCTCAACTCGTTCGAGCTGGGATAGCGGTATGGGAGCTCACCCCCGCAAAGTCAAGGCCGTCTTCAGTGGGATACTTGCCCGGCCGTTGCAGATTTCTAGCTGCGGGAAACAGTGCAGCCCTTAGAGACTAGCGGAGGCAGTCGTCGTCTTTGTTTTTCACGTTGAAGATTGCGTTCTTATTCTTGACCGCGGTGTGGAGAGGGAGGTATGAGCCCCCGCATAAAGGCTGGTAGTGAGTGATGTCAAGCCAGAGTGTTTTGACACGATCCACTATCCGCCCAGACCCTTTCCTAATGAACTTTTCCAATCCCTTCAGGATTGTTAGGAAGGCTTCATGTAGCGCTTGCGGAATCTCATACGCCTGAAGCAGCGTGATCTGCTTTGTCCGGAACACTGGTGATTGAAGCACT